GGGTCTTCTAGAAGACGCTGAAGATCTGGTAACACAAGTCCACAGGCCCAGCCACAGCAGAAAGGCCCCGTGGAAGGCGTGTTCGCTACAGAGAGCAGATGCTCTCGAGAGCACAGAGGCTCTCCTGAATGTTCTTGTGCTGCACATCCTCTACCTGTAGCTCATGGCGGGGTTCAGGGAATAAGTCAACAGAGCAGAGAACTCCCTGCTCTCCTGCATCTATGCTTCAGTTTTGAAGAGGCACCAAAGGAAAGGGAAAGCCACCTAATAGGAAGGCTGTGAAGGGCTTCCAAGCTCCCCGGGAGTCCCCAGTCAACCGTGAAGAGAATCCTTTTGTGGAGTGAACAGCCACTCCCTCCTTTATCCCCTTTGAGATATACACAGGGCATGCTTAAAGAGAAGGCACAGAGTTCATTTGTGAATCCATATAATTAAAAGATTACAATGTAAATCCCTATGTCTGTCTATCTGTCTGATAGAAACATCATGTCACTGAAAATGATTTCCAAGCTTCACTCATGGATTCAACTATCTTTGCATGGCCTATTCTGTACATGTCATATGACTAAATATACTGTCTACATTTGTGGTATCTCCAGATTAGCAGATTTACATTTAAAAAGACATGTCCTCTTCACTCTTATCATTACATATGTCAGCCAAAAAAGTGCATTTCATATTATATCATGTTAATTCTAGAGATCTCAGATATACAATCAATTCTACTTCTGACCTCAAGGATTTCTAGGTATCAGTTATATGAAAGGCCATGGATTTCTGGCTTGCTGATCTGCAATAAAACTTCCAATACCTGTCAATCATACAAAAGGTAAATGAATAAAGAGTGCCAGAAAGATTGCTTGGTGACTTAAGAAAGTATCTACACAAAATAGTCTACATGTTCTAATTAAATTGTGCTGATGCAGTAAACCCTTAGTTATAATAGTGGAGACAGCTTAAGTAAAGGAGAAAGAGAAAATTACCTGAACATATGTTTAAAGAAAATAATCTCATCCAAGAAAATCTGCTTTTACCTGCCTTAAACCAAATCATATTGTTTTGTCGCAACTTGGGTTAGTAAGAACCTGATTACCATTTAGGGAAATGGAACTCGTTTCTGTGAAATTATACCTTTAACCCAGTAATCATCACCACCACCATCTTAGCCATCCTCTCCTCAAGAACAAAAAAATCATCTTTGACCAATTTTGATTTGTAAGAGTCCAAGAAACAGAACTACAAAAAATGGGAATGGGTGTCATCATCAGGAAAGCGGGCTACCCCGAGCGGCTCAAACCTAGGTCTTTGCATCACTAAGCTCAATCTTTCCGTGACTCTGTACCAGCTTTTCTCAACAGTAACAAAGTAAATTTTCAGAATCTGCAGAAATTCATTGTTATTTAAACTTAGCAATAATCCTGGAAAGTGAGAGCAGACATAACCTTTCCAAATACAGGAGATTGGGGACCACAGGATAAAGTGATCCGCACGGAAAACTCGGATCTAATGCCTGGTAATATCTGTAAGACACAACTACTAAAAAACGGATGGTGTGCAATGAATGTACATTATTTTAGAGTAATCATAACTTTAAATAAATTCAAAGCATCTATTCAGTTTGAGATTATGAGAAAGCAAGTGCAACACATCTACAGGGCACTCCCCACCCTCTGGCCCCCCATCCTAATCCTTCAGCATGCTCTTTCCTGCTGGGAAATGAGCTTCAGATTCTTTCTGAACATACAGCTTCAGGGAGCCCCTCTCTGGGCTCCCTGGCACTATTAACACAGACAAAACCCACATTCCTAGTCAACTCTTCATTTGTTTCTGTCATTTTTTTCATTGTTTCTGATGTGATACTTGATTCCTATGTTATTCCACGATTGTACATATGTCTTCTTCAAGCACAGGGCTTGGCTTTGTACTGACCTCCGAGCACCCACCGTGCTGACTCACATACAGGGACACTCACAGTGTCCGGCATGTGCATGCCACGAGTGGATGTCATTTACAGAAAAATCGAAAGCTAAAACAACAATACTGCCCTGGTTTCTACTATGGTTTATTCCAAGGGTCAGGAAACGTTTTCTGCCAAGAGCCAGATAGTAAACATCACAAGCTCTGTGGTCAGATGGTCTTTGATGAACCTACTCAACTCCACTACCAGTGGCAGACACACACCGATGATATGTCTACCACTGTCTACATGAAATGGTATTTAAGGCCACTGAAGTCTGAATTTTGTAGAATTTTCGCACACAACAAAGTATCATTCTCTTGGCTTTTTATCGCCCCCCACCCCCCAACTAAAAAATGTACAAAGCTTTCTTAGATTGCAGTTCATGGAAAACCAGGAATCAGGTCGGATTTGACCAACTGGGATAATCTGGTGACCCTTCACCTGCGGTTCTCAAAGTAGAGAACTTCTGGTAGTCTGCGAGTCCCTTCCAGCAAGTCCAGCCACCTAACCTTCTTCCTCTACTACAATCAATTCAACGTAACACAACAGACCAATTGCAGAAGCAAATATGAAAATCAAGCTTCTTTCTAGTAAGCTGCAAATTTAACAGATCTGCAAAGACTATAAAACAATGCCATCCTCCCACTTACTTTGTTTTTAATGTTTGGAAAATGTAGTTATGCTTCACAATGCTGTTTATGTTAACAAATTAACCCCCCCCATCCCAGCTTTCATTTCCCAAATGTTAAATGTCGATAGTTACAAACATATAAACAAAAGCATGGGGATGGTTCCATAAACACTAAGAATGTCAAGGGACCTTTGAGAACCAGCTGCTACACTAGAGCTTAACTGGTTCCTGCTGGCAAGAGAGCTCAGAAGCCACCAAAGGCCTCCTCAGTCTGCTCACTAGACAGGCCAGCAGGTGTCTCGTTCTTGACTCTCCTCAGACCACTGCCCACAGTCTCATAGAGTTTCCTGGCATATCTTAAAAATTAGATCCTGATTTGTTAAAATTTAATCCCCTGCAATTTATGCTCTTGAAAATCAATTTGGTGAAAACCCAGTGGTGATTTTCCTAAAACCACCCTTTGGATCTGTGCAGACGAGCAAACTTCGGCCTTTGCCAACACCAGCAACTTGATGTGGCCTCTCTCTCCCTGACTGGTATTTTTTTGTTTTAAAATAAAAAATGACCACAGCAGTTCCTCCCCTTCAGAGCATAGCTAAACCCAGATTTACTGGCTCCTGTATAAATCGCAACCCCCTGGACTTGGCTCCACAAAGCTTCAGGGAGTCCAAGGCTTATCAGCATCCCAGAGCAGCTTTAAATCTAAAGTAATAAAATCTACTAGACAGGGTTCAAGTTTAACTGAGAGTACTAATAATAATGCACTAATAACTCAGTATTTCGAGTAAGATGTCGACATCTTACAGAGCATTTGAAGAGTGTCTTAATATTTTGTTCTCTCATTTGAGATTTTAAAACTTTTTTAAAGATTATTTTTAGAAAAATGAAAGGGAACATTGTCTCAATTCCAGTGTTACCATAGATAGGGGAATCTTATTATATAAAGAAGCTTTTTTTTTTTTCCAGTATAAATTTACTTTGTTGTAATGTTTAACTGTTTGCCCAAATGATGTGTACTGCTGGTCTAGGGAAAACTCAAACCAAACCCCCACATTTTAGAGAAAATTAGCAATTACCATGATTCCAATGTTTATCCTTTTGGTGAGTTATATATTCTTAATAAGGCAGAGCTTTCCATAACTCTATGAGTATAAAATCTTTATAGTTTCCTTTTATGGAATAAATTCTTTGTAAACAATAGTGGAGGAGGAACAAATTTCTATTTTAGATGTCTATCCTTCAATTTAAATTATAAAATATAAGGAATTATGACTAGCTGCTAACTCTGCCATAAATTATGATTATCAGCTCCAAGCAGTAAGAGTCCGTTGGGCTATTCCGATCAAGGTCAAAAGTGAAATTCACCGGTCTCTTTATAGCCACAAAGCCAATGGCAGACTATGACCTGCTTGAGGGGTGCTCCTCACTTGAGGGTACAGTGCAAGTCATAGTGAAAAGATTTTGATAGCTGATGTCCAATGAAGACAAAAAAAAAATAAATGTGACAAAAATGCTTACTGTTAAGTCCACAGTAAAAGCAAATGTCTTACCGAGATTGTGAAATATTCCCAGTTGTGAAATTTGTGTTATTTGTAAAGTGGAGAAAAGCAAAGCAGCTTCCTCAGTCATTTTTTTGAGACCTCAGCATCAATTTAAAGAAAATGCTTATATTTAAAGGAAAGTCAGTTTCAAAATACAACTCCTACACTGAGTAGAAACAAGGATAGGAAGCAAATTCACAGCTCATCTCATGCAAGTCCTGTTCCATGTGTATGCAGATGAAGGTGACATGAGCTCTAAGTTTAAAAAGTTACTTGCTCTGTTATTCAATTCTCTAAGCATCAAAACTATGCTCATTAAAAAGTCTGAGTATAATAAAGTGTATTTGCGAGGCAACGGCAACATATTACAACAACAACATGGATTTTGCACTACCACAAAGTAGAGGGATGAAGAGAATCTTGGTCCATATGTAAGAAGGGGAAAATAGTCTGACAGGACCCTGCTTTTACTACTGCTCCAACGCAGGAAACCAGACTCAAAGTATGGAGATTGGAAAGATTGGCACAGCGGTTTAAAGTTTGAAAAACACCGTTGTCATTTGCATCAGAGTTGTTAGTGTTACTTTCCCAATTCCCCTCCCCAGCAGGGGCAAATAAGTATAGCTTTTCCTAGCTGCTAGGAAATTTTCTTAGCACTTTGTGGAAACTGTTGGCTTTCAAAAATGGACAGGCTGATTTGAACCAAAAGTTAGGCAAATACAGAAACGCAACCACAATAAAAAGCAATTTAGAAAGAGGATCAAGCCAAGCAGATAAGCAAACTTTACAAAACCAGTTTTCTGGGACTGTTCACAAGTCAGTTCCCCAATTTCAAAATGCCCAAAGCAAAGCAAACATGCCGACTTACATTGCTTCTTCAGGTCTTTCAGCTGTTGTTTAAACTGTACAAATTTTTCATTATTCTGAAAGTCTGCATCAGAATTCTTATTCTGTAAAGCCAAAAATTTCTTCTCCACTAATAATTTAAGATCTGGTATTTTTTCTGGACGTTCTTCTTTTACCTGTGGATAACGATAATATGCTCTTAGTTAAGTGTTAGCAATAATACAGTTTTGCAGCATTGTTTTTACTGCATTTCATCAAAGAAAATAAAATGTGGCAGGAGCCAGAATCCCCCAACTGAGAACCAGAGAACCAGATGGGACATGTGTCAGGACAGGTTGTTCATTCATCCCACCTTCATTCTTCACTTTCCCCAACAGCCCCTTCAGCGGCCTACTAACTGGCCATTTCCTGACAACCACCGGGAAAGCTCACAGCAGCACAACTCTCTTCCCACTTCAGCAGAACCTTTCGCAAGACTGCTGTGTCCCCTCTCCTACTCCAGAGGGGTCAGTCTGGCCTTCATTCTCTTCAGGTGAGAGTGGTTCCTACTTAAAAAAAAGGAGGTTTCTTTAACTGGAACTTCCACCACCTGGCACTACAATAAGGAAAAAGCTGCCTATTCTATTCAAGATTAAACTCTGAATCTGTGTTCTCTTCTTCCTTCCAGTGAGTGATTGCCAAGCTTTCAAACCTGCAGAGAAGCTAAAAGAGTGGTATTTTGCCACTTCGCTACCTCCCAAGTGCCGTGATGGACACTTTGCTATGCTTGCTTGATTACCTGTCTCTGCATCCCCATGTCCCGCTATTCTGCCTCAACCTTGTTTCAAACCTGGCTCTCAATTCCATCTTTTCCTCTCTTTCAAAACTAACATCCCCTCTCTATAGGATCTTTACACAAAATATTTACTTAATTTGGTTCTTCACTCCCATATTTAAGAACAGATGACCTTTTATCTCCCTACCCACTCCTCTCTTATTTCCTCTGGAAAGCCCAGCTTCTTGGGAAAAATGTCATCTATGCCCACTCCTTCATGTCCTCATCCTCAAACTTAACCCTCTCCACCCCACCCCTTCACTTCCCCTGCTTTTCCTCAGGCTTTCACTATTGGGCCCTTGCGCCCCTGATCTTTTGCTGACATTCCAACCTGTTACTACGTAATATTCACCAGACTCTCCCTCATGCCAGAAGCACTGAGACAGACTTCTACCAAGGCCTAGGGACATTTGAGAGGGCAGGAAATAGATTCCTGGTTTATCACTGTATTCTCAGTGCCTGGTACTTAGTAAACAGTATTTAGCATATGTTCTCAATATACACCAATATATGTACTCAAAATATTAGCTCCAAATATACTTACCTGACGAAGACCACCTTGATTATTAGCTATTATGTAGCTAGTAATAGTTAACTACTCTTTAGTTAAAAGCAGTCGAGTATACAGTGTAAGTTCTGGGCTAAAGACAATTTAGAGATCAATGATTCTTGATGGCTACCTTTCTCACTTTCATATAGAAATAAATGGCACATATAGAAATGAAATTAAACAATTTATCTGCTGTGATTCAGTTAGAGGAGAAATTAGGACCACACGATCGATACAGAGAATGCTGGTTCTGAGTATCAACACAGATTAAATAAAAAAAAATGATCCATAATTTATCAACTTTGAGGACCCTCAGTAATGAAGAAAAGAATTATATAATCTTTTGTTGCTTAACTGTTATGAGTTCTGATTTGCTCAATCAAAAGTAAAAAAAGAGTAAGCATGAAGCTAAAATGCCTGACTTTACATGAATAGTACAGAGTGTAGGAACTATCTCCTCATGATGCCAACAGTGTCCAGCCAGGGCTAGACCCACCATCAAAGTGCGTTGTGAAAAACATGGAGAGGCTTTAAACAAAAATCCTATATGTAATTAAAAATATGTCCTGCGAGACAAAGAACCCATAATGCTCAGTCAGGGGAAAAAGGCAGAAGGGCAATTTAATGCCTCTGTCTGAAGAGCAGGAGCTATTAGACGTGGCGAGCAGATATCCTCTGCCTTACACTGGATACAACAAGATGAAACAAGTTCAAAAATGCAGCACAAAGAGTTGAGAGGAGACACAGAAAATAACTTATGACTTAGAAAAGAATTATGGGCTCTCTTTCTGGATTTATAAAGTGAGACTCATATCCACCTGAGATGTTAATGGTAACGTAGAGACAGACATGCAGAAGAACCTTCACAAAGGCTCTTTGATCAGTTTGAAATTATCATTTAATCCAGGGTGAAAGAAAAGATCTGAAGAGATGATCAGTAAATGCAAAAGTTCTTTTCCAGCAAAGTTTCTAACACAGTCAACATTTTCCCTTAGTTTGACCACAACCACTGTTGTGGAGGAGTTGCGTAGCAGAGTGGGGTGAGCGTGGGAAGGAAAAGCGGTGAGGATTGGCATTTTGGTTGACAGTATGGTAACCTGAAACGGGACTAGGAAAGCCTGAATAAACCAAAGTCAGGAATTCAGAGTATTTTCTGCCCCCAGCAGAACCTAAACAGAACTGTAAAGTATATACATTCACTAGCAAATCCCATTTCTCTGTCAAAAAAACGGCATGGAAAACAAACTCATTACTGAAACTATTTTCACTTTCTGACTTATTTCACTGAGAATCATCACCTCAAGACCCATCCATTTTTTGCCCCAAAAGGCACTATTTCATCTTTTTTTTAATAGCCGAGCACCATCCCATTGTGTATATTTCACAGGGCCCAGGTGGAACTGGGCATTGGGGTTACAGTATGATTTCACTCACTTATGGATATAAAGAACCACAGAAACAAACTGGCAAAGCCCAACAAAAGTGATCCTTAGACTCTGTGGAAAAGATACCAGTTCCCAGGGGGTTGTGGGGTTTGGGGGGCAAAGAGGGGATGGGAAGGGAGGGGAAAGGGACGGGATGCTGGCACCGGAGCTGTGGAAGAGGGCGAGGGAAGCAGGTCGAGGGTGGGTTGGGCGCTGTCCTGCTAACACTGCAGGGCTGGACCCACTGGCCAGTCAACAGAATCTGAGAGACAAACATCAGCAGGTTAAGTCAGTGCAGTAAATGGGGAGTAGCTATATTTTCAATGACTTCTTGCTTGGCTTGTATCTTCAAGTGAAATAGATACACAATCCCAAACAGGGGAGGGAAATCCATTCTCAACACATTTGTCTAGCCTGAAAAAGGCAAGGATGGCCCTCTTTTCCCACAACCAATGTAAAATTTCTCAAAAAATTTGAGATGGAAGGAGAGGGCCTATTAGTTAATAATGCATCCTTTTCCGAAGGACAGAGTCCTTAGAAACAGGACTTAAAACCTAGGGGATTAAAAGACACTGGGTATGTGTGGTTTGCTAGGGCTGCCATGTTAATACCATACCATAGAGTAGTGGGTTGGAACTCTGAGGCCAAGGTGGCTTCAGGGTTGGCTTCTTCGAGGCCGTTCTGGCTTGCAGATGGTCATTTTCTCCCTATGTTGTCTGGTTTAAAATATCTTGTTCTAATATGTCATATTCATTTAGGGCTCACCCAACAACTTCATTTTCAAGTTAACTTAAAGACCCTATGTCCAAAAGCAGTCACATTTTAAGATACTATGGGGAGCTGGAATTCAACGTGAGGATTTTATTTGCATAGGTAATAGCAGACTGAAGAGAAGTTGACATGATAAAGGAGAAAGACCAGGACCTCAAGATCAGACAGATCTAGATCAACCCTGAATTGTGGCTCTTGGGACAGTGTGGGGCTCCTCGTACTCACTTCACACCACTCCAGGGCTGTTACTCTTTTCCTTTGTGTCCTGCATAGAAGCATTAACATATGTTGAATGGAGAAGAAGGAGCTAAAGAGAGAGCAAGAAACAGATTTCATTTGAGGAAATCATTCAGGTACTGGGCAAAGACTAGAGAGGGAAGAAGTCAGCTGGAAAGGAACAGGTTTTGGCAGGTGTTGCAATGTCCACTGGGCTGGACAAGCAAGAATCTGAGGAACCCCTACAAGTGCAGGATAACGGGAAGTGGTGAGGTAGGGGGCAAGTCCCAGGTGAGAGGGAGCGCTCACCACTCAGGACGCCTAGGTCATGTGACAACGAGAGCCCAGTTTTAAAGTCAAAATATAAAAACCATTTCCAGTCCACGCAACACAGGGCATAAAAGGACATGAGTCTGAGACTTCCAGTTATGCAAACTAGAGGTTTTGGAATAAAAATATGAGGACTTTTGTGACCCACGATATCTAGGAATATCTAGGATTCTCATGGAATCCTCAGACTTCTACTTTAGAGATGGGATGTGGCTCTTTCAAGCAAGCCAAAGAACAATGGGGGAAGATCCTGTGGAGAGAAGGATTTCCTTCTGACTCTAACCCAGTCAGGATTCAATGTTTGGATTAAGATTTAGAATGAGTCTCTACTACTAAACTGAATGAACCTGGGAAATTACTAAATGCATTTGACTTTAGTTGCCTCACCTGACTCTAAAAAGTAGTGATAGCATTTATCTCATGGTGTTGCCAAGAGGAAGATAGACTGAAACAATAAAGTACTGAGCTGTCTGTCACACAGCTACAAGGGGCAGCTGCCACTGTTGTTTGTAGATATCCTGAAGAGGCAGGGCACACAGGTCTGCAGCTCTGCAAGGCTGGCAAGGAAATCAGTGTGCAGACTTTCATAGAAACCATGGAAATGAGTGGCACTGTGAAGGAGACTGAACAACAGAAGCAAAGAAAGAAAAGGGCCAAAGCTAGAACTCTAGAAATACCACATTTTGGCATTTCTACCAAACAGAAGCATCTCAAAAAGAAATGGTACCAGAGCGAGGGAGACAACCAAAAGAAAATGTCCCAAAAGCCAAGAAAGAAATTTCAAGACCTGCCCAGTGCTGTGGAGAAGTCATGCTAAAGAAGGACGGAGAAGTGTCTGTTGGACTTTAAGACTTGCTCAATGGGCACTCTGGCAAGAGCAGTGAAGCACAAGGGCCGACCCCAAATATCCAGATTGCCGTTTAGTGAACTATCCCAAAGAGATGGAGCTTGACAGAGAAAAACACACACATCGCTAACAGTTCCACAGTCTTTCCACTAAGTACTCGACTTCAGCTCAGAATCACCTGTGGGCATTTAGCTTCACTTAATTGGAGGCCAACATGTCTGGGA